AGTTTACTTTGCAGTCACTACTTTAAATGTATTCTACTTATTGTTCAATATTGTTTCTTTATTAAATGTATTTATTCTTCCATCACACCTTCCAGTGTTTATATGGTCAAAGTTGTGTTTTATGTTATATTAATACATCTTTCTTTGGGGTTTGGTTTCTTCTGTCTGGCAAAGGGCTGGAAGAGCTGAAGTTTTTTTTTTAAACTTTATTTATCAAACAATGAGTATATAATATACGAACACATGAAGTATACAAAACAACAGAACATGAACACAAAAAGCCAAGGGTAAAAGAAAAAGGTAACAATTATAAGAATACACGCAAAAATTCACATACATATATTGTTGTGAGAGCCTTTTTGTTGCTGCAGTCTGATATTGATTGTATGTGCATGTGCACATCCTTAAAATAATGACAGAAATATGGTGTTTTGTTAGTAAACTTACATTTATGGATAAAAAATTTAGCTAAAAGTATTAACAAATCTATCATAAAAAAACATTTCTCATACTTCTTGGGGAACTTAAAGAAACAGAATAAAACATTTTCCCATCGTAAAGAAAACTCCCTTAAAATATGGACAATAACAAAGCTGCTAAATTCCTTCCAGAATCTCTGTGTAAAAGAACAGTACCAAAAAAGATGTGTCACAGTTTCTGGATGATCCCCACAGAAAGTACAATTAGTATTTATGTCCCTTTTAAATTTGACCATGTAGTGACTGGCTGGATAACATTTATGTAGAATTTTAAATGAGACTTCTTTCACCTTATTTACAATCAAATATTTATGGGGGACCATCCAGACTGTCTTCCACTTGATATCTGGAACAAATCGGTTCCAATAAGATATTATATATGGGAGAGAGATGATATCTTCTTGGAATAAACTACGTATTCCCTTATTGCTGTTGAGCTGAAGTACCACTGGCAGCCTAACTGGATGAAACCACATGCTTCTCTAGGGGCGGTGTTTCACGTTTGTTTAGTTGTTTTGTATTAGTTGGTTATGGCAGCCATTTTGTTTGCCCCGTGTGTGTCATTTGCTTTAGCTAAACCAGTATTTAAGTTCTCCCTGTGTCCTTTCAGCAGGTCAGTTTGTACGGACATGGGAGAAAAAAAAAATAAGACGGACTTTTGCGAGATCTGGCAAACGTTTTGCCAGATCTCGCAAAACAAACTCGGGATCTCGCAAAACTTTTGCGAGATCCCGAGTTTGTTCTGCGAGATCTTTGCGAGATCCCCACTTTGTTTTGCGAGATCTTGCAAAAGTCCGTCTCCCTGCAGGGCTCCGTAAGTTTGTCTTATCTTTGTTTGAGATTTCATTGTTATTTTGAGTTAAGTTTGTTAAGTTGACCTCTTTTAGTGGTCTGCCTGTTTAAGTTTTTTGGATTTGTTAAATATATTTTTTAATTAAGGCTACGTCCATACGTACACGGGTATTTTTGAAAACGGAGATTTTCTGTTTTCGTTTTAAAAAATAATCCCGTCCACACATAAAGGCAGAAATGAAAGAAAACGCTGCTATGAACATGCCAAACCAACAGGTGGCGATGTAGTCCTAACCGTGCAGAAATGTTGGCCAATCAGAAGTCTAGAAGCCTCGGCGGGAAAAAGTAAACAAAGCTGGGGCATAGAAGCAGAACCGAGTCGTCTGTGTGGACGGACAGTAACTGTGTGTATATGTAAGCATTTAAACACTGCAGAGAGTAGAATTAACAGTATTGTAGAAATTCATTTCACCGAAACAATAATGTGGCGCACAGTGTGACGTCAAAAAATGCGCACACCTTTGACGCTGCGTTTTCTCCGTTTTTCTAGTCCACACGTAAATGCAAAAAACTGAGTTTTTGAAAATATCCACCCTGGCCGGAGTTTTTAGAAATCTCCGTTTTCAGTGACCAAAAACGCCGTTTACGTGTGGACGAAAGGTGCAAACGCATAGAAAAATCTGCGTTTTCAAAAATACCCGGGTACTTGTGGACGTAGCCTAAGTATACCTGTGTCCTTTATGCTTTACTGCTTGGTCCCTGACAGGGTAATTGAACAAGCAACCAACTAAGATTTTTCTCTTGAGCTTAAAGGTTGATTGAAGAGGATCAACCTGAGCACCACCTCCACAGAGGTTAATGCAGTGTGTTTTTCTTTCCAGCCGGTAAGGTACAAAAGTATTTTTCTTCACATCTTCCACGCCTGAGGCAGGGGAGGAGGCTCGCAGGGTGACAGTGGAAAATAAGTGAGAGTGGAAGCTGGGCTTAGTACAAACTGGTGATGGGCAACAGGTGTGCCTGAAGTCTCCAGAAGCTCTGCCTTACCACTGAAAGAGACTGGTTAGTAGCTGCCCACCCACAGTCAGACAGAGGAAGAGAGATATGTGAAAGTTCCCACAGAAAATCACATTGTATGGCTTCCCTCTCTTTAATGCTGGATTATGCAGGGTTCCTTTTATTTGAAACGAACCTAACTGGTTGTGTCAAATACACTGTACACTGCCTCTATCTGGCAACAGAGCTCACTGCAGGCAGATGTGCAGTGCTGGTGGAGCAGATAGTGATACACTCCCTTTGAAAGACCATAAAACCAGCTTAAGGCTACGTTCACTCTGCAGGTCTTAATGCTCAATTCACATTTTTTGATCAAATCAGATTTTTTTGTCTGTTTGTTCACACTACAAATAAAATGCGACAGCAAACGCACTCTAGTGTGAACGCTCAAAGTGGCAGCATGCGCAAAAGAAGACGTCACACACAACGCGCTCTGTTTAGACCCAGAGCAACAGTATTGTTTCGGTCTCGGTTGGTGGTCAGAGGGCCCGGTGGCGCCGGTGTCCGGCAGCCTCGCCTCTGTCAGTGCGCCCCAGGACATCTACAATGTAGCTGCCATCACCAGTGTGTGAATGTGTGTGTGACTGGATGTAGTATAAAGCGCTTTGGGGTCCTTAGGGACTAAGAAAAGCGCTATACAAACGCAGGCCATTAAACCTTCCTGTGCAGTTGAGAATCTGACATGGAAGACTGAGAATGGCAACATCCCTTCAACTGGTTTTATGTCCCTTCCTGTGTTCGGTCACACTGGGCCAATACCACCAAGTTCACTTGCTACACTGGGATTAGCCCTCAGTGCCAGAGCAAAGATAGGATGGGGCCCGATTATTTAAGACCTTGTATGTGAGGAGCAGGACTTTGAATTCAATTCTGGATTTAACAGGAAGCCAATGAAGGGAAGCCAAAACAGGAGAAGTCTGCTCTCTCTTTCTAGTCCCTGTCAGGACTCTTGCTGCAGCATTTTGGATCAGCTGAAGGCTTTTCAGGGAGTTTTTAGGACTTCCTGATAATAATGAATTACAGTCGTCCAGCCTGGAAGTAATAAATGCATGAACTAGTCTTTCAGCGTCACTCTGAGACAGGATTGCTCTAGTTTTAGAGATGTTGCACAAATGGAAGAAGAAAGGTAGGTCGTGGAAAAACTTCCAAGACCTACAGATTTAGCCTTTAGTCTCTGGTCCTAAAACTCACCTGTTGCTCTCCCTGTTGCAAATTCCACCACTTAACCTGAGTGCATATAATATATAGCTTTTTAAATTTTATGCTGCAAATTGGGTCTTTCTTCAGAGTCCATGGAATTGCTGTCATTGATTGGGACATTTAGGAGAGCACGATTGCTTTATTTCATTCTGAACAATGTCTGTTTGGATTCCTGCTTCGGTTTTTAAGTGGACGTATTGTTTGGATCATTGTTCTAGTTTATAACTCAAGTGCGCTTGAACGTCAGACAAAAGCTGATAATTCTCTGGTAGACAGTAAAGTTCGTGGTTCCATCAGTTACTTTGGGCTCCTTTGCTGAGCCCCAGGCCACCACACCACCACGTTTGACTCTTGGTGTCATGTTCTTTTTATGAAACGTTGTGCTAGCTTTTGTCCAGATGTAACAGCACTCAAACCTTCCAAAAAGTCATTTTGTGTCATCAGTCCACAGACTGCTTTCACAGAAAAACACAAACACTGACCTTGACTGAGGCAACTGAGGCTTGCAGTTATTTAGATGTTGTTCTGGGTTCTTCTGTGACACTCCAGATAAACACCTGATAATTCTGGTTAGCTTTGGGAAACAACATTCAGGCTTCTGGGGTCTATCTCAGCTGCTTATCTAGCTAAACCTGATTAAAAAGCATGTGACAGTTTTAGATGAAATATATATAGACAACCATTCTCCACATAGATTTTAAGATAAATACACACAATAGTACCTACAGATATTAGAATACATATCAGAAATTTAGAAATAAGTAAAGGATGTGAGCAGGAAAGAGGAGAGTCCAATATGCAGGTGGTGCTGATGCAAAGTTACTGTAGCCTGAGTAAGTCAGTGTGTTGAACAATGAACACTCCTGCAAACATAACTGAGAATACAGTTCTGTTCAGCATTTTTACGTCTGTTGTAGCACAATACTCAGTGCTCACCATGCTGTGTGCATAACACAGAAAAACTGACCAAGCAGGCTCCAGAGAAGCTGTTTTGATGGAAGCTTTTGAATGTGCATAGCAAGGGGACACAAAATCCCAGACCTCGTTACAGACACTATTATTAGTTGGTTACTATTTTTCAACAGCTGTCCTGTGGTGATACAGAAGAATTATTAGTAATAACATGGACTCTTCAAACCAGTGTTACTCTGCTGCCCTCTAGAGGATTTCAAGCCAAACAGCAATCTGAGAGAGAGAGCGCGTGAGAGGGAGAGAGAGAGAGAGAGAGAGAGAGCGCGTGAGAGGGAGAGAGGGAGAGAGAGAGAGAGAGAGAGAGCGCGCGCGCGAGAGGGAGAGAGAGAGAGAGAGAGAGAGCGCGTGAGAGGGAGAGAGAGAGAGAGAGCGCGTGAGAGAGAGAGAGAGAGAGAGCGCGTGAGAGGGAGAGAGAGAGAGAGAGCGCGTGAGAGAGAGAGAGAGAGAGAGAGAGCGCGTGAGAGAGAGGGAGAGAGAGAGAGTTGCACATGTGCATTAGTGAAACTATAAAGGAAGTAACGGTGCACAAGAAGTGCAACAAACTAACGCCATAACGGAGAGAACAGCTGCCAGCTACATCCAAACATGCAGCCACCACCGAGAAAGGTAAGGATACCAAGAATCTGACGTAAATGAGTAAAATATTCACACTGCACTGACTCCTCGGGGTTGGTTCACTTTTTCTGAAAATAATTCTTTTATGGCCTCATTCAATGTTTTGTCAGCTTTTGTTTTCCCTGCAACTCAAAAGCTAAAGAAATGAAACAACCTGGGATGTTACTGGGTTTGTATCAGCTGAGGTGTTGGCTCTCAATAACAAAGTGTTAACAGCCTCAACATGCTCGACTGATGAATAAGCTAGCTCCTAAACGCGTTAATAGGCAGTAATGTGCACGACCTGCTCAAAGCTAATGTTTGGGACCACTTCCAGTAATTGGAAATGTAAATGAAGCTTTCTAATATTTGTTGTCTTCAGCTAGAAGGTGCTGTACTTTTCTGTGGGCTTTTTCTCTTATACAGCAATAGAATGATACATTACAGAGATACCAACAACAGAAAATGACATAACACTGTTTAATAAGGTTTAATTATCTAAATAGACTGCTGTATTTGTGTCACAGGTTAGCATTGTTTGACCTATAAAATAGCCTTGTACCCTGCACCTGGCTGTCATTTTAGCTCACAATAACTATATTATGTAAATTATTGTAATTATTGTATATACTATATTAAATATAATTTTAGGAATCCATAAAATGTTGTTGTGCACTTTTTGTTGTCACAGCATAACGTGGCACAAACCAGCAACTAATGTAGACTAGTGAATGTTGTTTTAGTCATTAGGCTTTGGTCAAGGAGGTTGTTTTTTTATGAACCTCTCCCAGTTCCAAGTCAGGCCAAACATTACCGGGTGTCCATTAGTGGGAGCCACCATAGTCAGCACTGAAGTTATAATCTGAAAAACTTCCGGTGAAACAAAGCCCACCAATATCGTCTTTTATCAATGAGACTTACTACACAGCTGCCCCGTGTGTGAACAGGTAAAGGAGAGCCAGCAGATGAAAGTGGTGTTCTCAGAGCAGCTCAACAAGCTGCAGACCAAACAGCATCTGGACACCGAACTGCTGGAGGAGATCAGGTCTGACACACTGTCTGTCTCATGAGCAGGTGTTACGTTACACATGTCCTGTGTGTCATGTGTTGTTTTCTGTTTGCTCCCAAAGGTCCTTCAGTAAGCATCGCACGGCTATAGAGAAAGAATACGGTCAGGTGAGTAAACATGATCTATTCTAGTCCTGTCTGCTGCTGTTACTGACACTTTTCATTGTTTACTGGAAATGCTCAAAATATATTGATTTAAGACCCACATTAGTACCTGAGTGCTGGATTGGGTTTTGACTTGTGTGACGTCTGCACACATACACGGTTTGTGTATGTGTGTGTGTGTCCTCACACAGTTTTATTAGGCTTTTGTCCTACTGTTTTTCATTGATTAGTTCTAAAAGTAATAAGATAATAATATTTTTAGGACATTTGATATCCTGGAAATAAATATGAAATGTAAATTAATGACATTTTAAACCTACCTGGTGAGAGTAACTAACACTGGTATGGGTGGAAGGGGTTATTTGGTTAACCCTGTTATTTTTCAAGTGGAGTGAGAAAAAGTGGTTTCTACCTCGGGCTGAAGGTGTTGAAGGTATAAAGGTGCTACATTTGTTGCTGCTGTTCTGGCTTTTGATGCCACGGTGTTGGCAAAGCGGTAGTTGTGTGAGTCTAGTTTACCTAGGCCGAAAAGTGTTATTACTTTGCTACTGCTGCACATCAGGTAGTCAGCAAACCACTTAGGTGCAGGGATAGGGTTAGGTTGCATTTTAGCTGCATGCTAGGCACAGTTTCAAAGGATGTTACAGAAGTTTCAGAAGATTTTGCCTCTGCAGTTTTGAGCTGCAGTTTAAAATTAAGGTGCCTGCAGGGTTTACATTAATACTAGCAAGCCACCATATTTTGTCACAGAGTCTGAAAGGCTCAGGCGTGCATCTTTTACCCCATGTGTGGCCTTGCACCTAAATGGGGAGGGTTTTTTGACACCAAGCTGGAAAGGTGACGGTCTATGTTCAGCAGTCTGAAGGTTGACTTCTAACCTAGTCTCAGTCAGGTACAAACCACAGAAGTAGGTTTGCTGTGGAGTGTCTCTGCTGAGGACAAAGTCACTGCTTCTCTCACTTAATGTTACAAATCTCCTTGGTTTCAGCTCAGAGCTTTATGTGTTTTCACACCGTGGTGTAGAATGTTTCACGTAGAACATCTGAAAAGTATGTGAGTGGATGTGTGTCTGTATGCATGCATGCATGTGTGCCTGGCTTTGTTAGAGGACAACAAGGTAGCATTCTCCTACCTTTGCTGAAATACTATTAAACTGTTAACACTGACAACTGTTGATCATATTACAACATTTATAGCTGTAAAAAGCAAACTGAGCTGCCCGGTGGGAAGAGCCAAAGGGAATATGTAGCAAATCTCAGGGGGCTACAACAGCAAAATTAGGAGTGCCAGCTCCTTAGTTTAGTTTATGTTTGTCTTGCTACAAAAACCCTACTGTAAGAAGGTAAGCTCCACCTCCAGAGGGTCCAGTGGGTCATGTAATAATACTTTGATCACAGCTACTTCAGTCCACGGGCTGAAGTGTCCCTGTGTAAGATACTGAGCCTGTAATTCCCCTAATGCATCCACTGGGCTGTGAGTGTGTGTATGATAGTGTTGAAAGGCTGTGTGATTGTGCCAGTCCATTTAACAAGTTACCAAAACAAAAACTCAATTGACACATTTTCTTACATTTATTACATCCCTGTGTGAGGAAAGTTACTTTGTATGTTATAGAGGATGCACTTTTTCTTGTGTTTTTTCAGGCTCTTCAAAGGTTAGCTGTCCAGTACCAAAAGAGAGACTGGCAGAGAGGAAATACAGATGTGATCACTTCTGGGTAACTACACAACTTTACAGCATGCAATCTTCTTAACAGCTGTTATTGATTGTTGATTTTACTTTGAAAGACCAAACACTCGATTGGCTCTTTTTGCTGTTTGGAAGTTACATCAGCAAAACAGACATGTTAAGAAAAACGGATGATTCTGCAAGAACTTTTTTGTAGTTTGTGAAAAAACAGTAATTGGACAGCAGTGGTAATGTGGAAATATTTTGTTGTCGTAATCTCTTGATATATACATCACATTTGACTTGTTGCCCATTTGAGGAACTGCATTCAATTACTTAATGTACATAAAGCAGAATAATATTATATGTAATATTATTAATATGTGAACAAAAGTTGTTACCAAAGGAAATAAAATACTTTTAGATCAGCAATGTGCTGATGCTTATGTTGAAATAACTTGGCTCTCTCTAGAATAAACCTCTCAAGCATGCACCTTATAGCAGATAATAAATGGCTTATGACTAATTTAGAAGAGCATCGTTTAGCCTGAAAAAAGAGTTTGTTGCTTTATAAAACAGCCCTCCATAAAGCTAGACTGCCTTACTATTGATTACTGATTCATTATTGACTGAAGGTTTCTCTTCAACTACTTTCAATACTATTGAAATATATGTTGACTGCAGCTGATCTGAGTTAACTTCAGCAATTACTTCCAATGTCTTTTAGACCCTGATCCCAAGTCCTACTATTAATTAATGCTTCGATCTTAAATATGATCTCTTTTAATGTACATCAGGTCTCAGAGTGCATCACAGCACAGAAACAGCTTTAAAGGCTACAAATGATGATCTTGTGGCCTCTGACAGTGGACTCATCTCAGTGGTTTATTACAGCGATTAGAGCACGCTTTAGCTGCAATGTTTTGAATCATATCTGTCTAAGAGACTCTAATTTGTTGATGTAAATAGAGAGTCGTCTTAACATAGTGAGGTTCCACAGGGTTCTGTGCAGGGATCGGTTCTGTTTACATTATACATGCTTCGTTAGGCAGTAACATTAGAAGACATAGCATACATTTTCACTGATGTGCAGATGATGCTCAACTTTATCTATCCATGTGTCTGTAATAAGGTTTGCAAACCCTTTGGTGTGGGTCTCCTCTGGGTACTTTGGCTCCCAAAACAGACATGCATGGTTAATTAACTGGTGATCTGTGGATGTGAGGAGTCTAAAAGGCTTTAAGATTAAAGCACACAACAGTGTGTGAATGAATGGGTGTTGCGCTTTAATCTCTCTATCTCTCTGTGTCTAATAATGCAGTGATTGGTGAGACAAAGCATTGCTACAAAAGGCCACCCTGTGTGTGTTAGTAGTATCTGACATTGTGGAAGGTGTCTGTTGGTGGTGATATGAATGCAGTTTGTGTGCTTTCAGGAGTGTGTTCAGCGTGTGGCGCTCTGTGGTCGATGCTACAGCTCAGACTGCAGCATCGAGACTTTTCGCTGCAGAAGAATACCGTCGACTCAGTGGGCAAGTCTCCAAAAGTCTCCGCAGTGCAAAGGATGTCCGGGCTAAGAGAGTGAGACAGTGCACACAGATTAAACATTTCTGAACAACACTCACATAATGAAACATTTTTTTCCTGCCTTCCTCCCCTCATCCCCAAACGGTTGTGGCAGATGGCTGCCTCTCCCTGATCCTGGTTCTGAAGGAGGCGTTTTCCTGTTTAAAGGGTTTTCCTTCCCAATACTGTCAAAGCGCTTGTTTAAACCGGGCTGTTTAATTGATGGGCTTTCTCTCAGTTACTCTAGGGTCTTTACCTTACAGTATAAAGTGCCTCAATTCAACTGTTGTTGTGATTTGGCACTATATAAATAGAATTCAGTTTATTTTACCTTAAAAAATGTATGAAATCTGATGCCTTTGGGTTGTGTGCATATGTGCGTTAGGGCCTGGAACGGCTGCAGAGGGTGCAGGCTGAAGTGGTGGATGCTCTACGGGAACTTCAAAGGGTCAAGAAGTGCTACCACGACTTCAGTCACATTGCCAGTATTGCACGTGAGAAAACTGCAGATGCACAGGCCAGGTCTGTGTTTCAATGCGGAGGTTTGAATCTTCTGCTAAGACTTTTGACCAGCATTTCATTTTGTTTTAAAATATTTTAAAAGTAACTAAAAGTCTGATTTTTAAGGTTGTATTAAATACATTTTGGAACAATGTTTGTCACTTCTATATATTTTATTCTACACTTGTACTCTTAAACTATTACTCATATTATTGTCACGACTTCTTTAATAAAACAGTAAAAAAGTTACTACTGCCGATGGGAGTTCAGCCAATAAGAGCTCAGCTTGCAGATTGAACGTTTCCCACAACTTGTATTTTATATAGAGCATTAACATAAATATGAAGCAATATGTTAAGTGCTGTAGTTTTCTCTTGTCTTGAATGACATAAATATGATTTCACTTTCTCTTCCAGAGCTAGAAAAGTGAACATGGAATTTTTCACTTTAAAACAGGACTCCATAAAACGACCACAAAGGTACGGATGATTGAGCTGCTGAAATCTTATTTCTATGCTGAACTGTGTCCTGGTGTAAAGTGGTTTCTCCCCTGTGATTATGAGTTGTCCCAGGATAATCTCTCTTGCCTTTAATGCAAACCAAATTATATTATCACTCTATCCATCCATTTTCTTCCTGTTAACCAATGTTGGGTCGTAGTAGCAGCAGGCTAAGCTGGGTGTTCTGGGTTTCCTCTCCCAGTATGTCCATTTGCTTCCAGATCAGACTAAATGTTTAACCTCTCATGAGTTCTGGTTTCCTTTCCTCAAAATACTCAAGCTGAGTACATTTATTAGAATTAAAATTGAGACTAGAATAAAGTTTGTATTTTTATCTGATAATGTTATTTTATTATTACATTAATATAAGGTTCAGTTGCATTTACACAAAAGCAACTCCTTCAAAGATCTTAATCTGAGTCTGTACTTTCTCACTTTTTACTTGAGTACAGAAAAGAATCAGTAGTCCAACTTTTACCGGAGTATTTTTTAACACTTATGATCTGTATTTCACCTTAAGTACACAATGTCTGCACTTTTGCCACCTCTGCATTAGGATATAAACAACAACAGCAAAACATCCTAAAGAATGATCCCAGGAGGCATCATAATCAGATGACTCCTAGGGTCTCCCAGGGGCGGGGCCACAATAAGAGATTAAAACAAAACCCCAAATGAGCTACAGCACTTCAACAAGAAGCTGTCAGGCTTGGCCGTCAGTTTGGTTCCACCACCTTGTGGGCCGTCCCCCACAGGGACAGGCACTGGGGTCCTGAGCAAGGTGGTGGTTGACCCCTGGGATGCAGGCTGTGTTTTTGTGAAGTGGAATGAGAAGGTTATTACACAGCACACACTGCTGAATTGTATAAATGTTGCCTGTTTGTGTGACATTGTGTTTGTGCTCACTTACATGTTTGCAGCTCACTGCCAGACTCAAAGAGTGCGATGACCGCTTGACTGAAGTTCGTAACGAGTATCTGCTGACATTAGCAGCAGTCAGAGCGCATCGGCAGCACTACTACACAAACGACTTACCATTTATTATGGAGGTAATCCACACACACTAACACCGTCAGTGTGCTACATTTATATTGACGTTTTTACAGATGGAATGGACCAAAATGTCCTTTCACAAAAAGCTTCATGGCTACTTTTTTTTAAGGAACTAGTGTCACCACAAGTGTTTGGATGACTGTTTTGCCATGTAGCGTTTAGCCTGCTGCCTGTACTGTATTTAATGAGAACACAGAGTTACAGGAAACACACATAACATAAGTGATTAGTCTTCAGCAGAAACTCAGTAGAAAATGTTTGAAAACTGACCTTTAGTGTCTGACCTCCTCAGCAAATGGATGGTGATATTTATGAGGATTTGAGATGCCATTTCACCCTGCTGTGTGGGACTGAGATGGACTGCTGTCTTCATACACACAAACAGTACAGCGGAGTGTGCGACAGTGTTGCAAAGGTTGGTGTTGTATATATGAACTACAAAAAAGAGAGATGAGATGCTTTGGCATGCTTTGTATATTTTATATATCGACACCTGTGGTCATTGGTCATCACAGGGCCTCAGACTGCAAATGATTGGTTCAATCTGTGATTAGTCCCATTGCACATTTGTCTATGTTGTAAACTGTGACAGTGTTGGATCATCATGTTAAACATGTCTTCTTAAAATAGAGTTGATACCTTGTGTGAGGATTTAGAGTTTTATTTTTGTAAGTGAATAATGAGAATGAATAAGAAGTAAAATAAACTGTAATCTGATTAGCCTGAATAAATGATGCATTGTGACAGATTCATAGTAAGACCCTCCTCACTATGAGGAAACCGTGATAACCACATTTAGAAACAATACTCTTTGAACATCCAGCTGCTTGTACAAATAAGTTCACCATCCAGCACACATGAGGTGAGAAGCATCATTTACATGTAGATGTATAGAAATGGCATAAACAGTTTCATGTGTGGACTTTGTGTAGATGTTGTTTGTAACCAAATCAAATCTGTCACTGCAGATAGTAAGCTCTAGACCGGGAGAAGCTGAATAAATCTCGAGATGTTCCCCTTAGCCTGTACTCTCTTGCCAGTTCAGAGTTATTCCCTGCACATTTTGAGTACATTTGACTTTCAGGTGTTCATCCAAAGTCGGTAGAAGTGAGAACATTGTATTTTTGTTCATGCTTTTCTAGCATTTGTGAAAAATTCAGCAGAATTTGCAGCGCTGCTGTTAATGAGAGTTATTTGTTTCTTTGAGGATGGTGTAACCTGCTTTTGTTTAATTCGTTTTTGTGTTGCAGGTGACCAGAGACAGAAATGTTCAGCAGTTTCTCCAAGATTCGGTATCGTTCAGCAAAACCCCTGAATTTACCTTCCAGCCTGCTCTGCGTGACAAGGTGTGTCTAAGGAAGACATGCTGACTGTAGTCCAAGTGCCACAGTGACAGTCCACAAATTGTAGTAGAGATTTAGTGATGAGCTCCATATTGAGATATTTTGCATATTTGGCTCAGTTTAATACAATGAGAGAAAATGTGTGACTTGGCAAACATTGGCAAAAAATTTAGAATAGAATAGAATAGAATAGAATAGAATAGAGTCTCTGAGGGGGGTGCCAATTGCCCACCCGCTGCAATTTCCTCTTGCCTACAGTACAGCAGTTGAACCAGAGTGTGGTTGCATTATATGCTCACTCAATGCCCAATGCACATATCTGATCAGAAAACCACATGGTAGTAACTCATTGTGCATGTAGACACAGTTAATGCGACCTGCTTCAGAAAGTCATTCAAAGCGATTCAAGTGAACATGGCATAAGACCCTCCTTCTTCACAACCGTTTCCACCCTTTTTGGAAGATTCAGTACCATCTGTCCTTTCCCATTTCTCTCTTTAACATCCTGCCTATCCCACACCTCACCCCTGGTCCCTTCACTTACTACTTCAACCAGTTTACTCTTATTCTTTCTCTTCTGACATCCAACCGTTGTGGACTAATAAATTGGCACTGGCAACATTCACTCTTTAAACTCATGATCGTGTCTTCACTTTTCATCTCAATAACACTGTTACTGAACTGGTAAATGGTTCTTATCTAGCACTTATCTACTCTCCACAAACAGCATATCTGCCTTCTCTCCACGATATCAGCCACCTTTCTCCCTGTACCTGTCCATGCTCACACCTCCACACCTGCCCAGAGATGGGCAGTAACGCGTTACTGTAATCCGATTACTTTTTTCAAGTAACGAGTAAAGTAAGGGATTACTATTGCAAAAACGGTAATTAGATTACCGTTACTTTCCCGTAGGAACGCTGCGTTACTGCGTTACTAAAACCGTGATTTTTTTGCGAGAGTGTCTCATGACAGTGACGTAAGCGAGTGCGACGTTCGTGACAACAGCTGTGTGCAGATCAACAGTGCATCATATATCGAGTGCAGAGAGAGTATGAGCGTGCAGCGTTTAAAGCGTGGAAGTACTGACCTTACTTTGAGTTTGATTCCATAAAAAGTGACAAAAACATTAGTGTCCGCTGTGCGTGGGAAGAAAACTTCTTTTTACAGCGAAAAAACCCCTAAACTTCCAAACAAGCAGCGAGTAGCTACGACGTGATGGGAAACTCACAGAGACACTCGCGGATTCTTCCACTGACCGCGGCACACCTGCACCAGGGTAAACCTCCGCCTACCCCACTCCTGCTTTACAGGTGAAAATAGAGCAACAGGACCGCTGAGTCTTTGACTTTATTTATTTTCTGCTGTGTTTTACTTGCATCTATTTGAAAGACTGAGTGAAAACACAAAAAATATTTTATTTTATGTGCTGGAATGTGCAGAAAATAGGTTTAAATGTTAAACTAATTTCTTCAAGTCAGAGAATGTTGCAGATAATTTAATTTTTTAAAAGATTAAAACTAATAAAACAAGTTTTAAAAAAAGACTTTTCCATTTGATTACATTTTGTATGATGGATTATGTAGAAAAAGCAGAATTGGGCTGAAAGTTCTATCGCTTTATCACCTCTTCAGGTGAAGTAATCAGTAATTAGTTACTGATTACTTTTTTCAAGTAACTTGACCAACACTGCTCCTGCCTGTCTTTCTCTCTCACCCCCTGCAAACATTCCTTCTCCCTCTCCTGTTTCTGTCTTTAACAGTAACACAGGGACATTAACTCAGTCTCCAGCCTGGAAATCTCATTCTTGATGATCCACAAGCTTTATTTGGCAAGGATTTACAACAGATCATTTACTTTTTCAAATTCAAACTCCATGTTAGTTCTTGGTCATTCCAAAGGTTTTCTGTACTGCCAAATACTGAATTTTGTATTTAAAAACATTATTTTATCATTCATACAAAGTCTATATCTTAAAATGAATTACAAACTAAAGCTGTTAAGCTTTTAGTAAATTAGAAGGTTTTTTTCACTGAAATGTAATAAACCGGGACTATACTCTAAACTAAGAAATACTCAAATGAAAAAGTATCTGTGTAAATTCACATTGTGGTCGCTGGTACTCCTCTTCATAGGTGTCAGTTCTGCAGGAAGTTTGTAGTTCAGAAGAAGAGGGCTGCCTGGTGAAGGAGGCCAAGAAATGGACTGCCAAGGTGGCTAAAGACCACAAGATCGTTGCCCACGGAGAGAGGGTGAGAAACTAGAGGAAGAACCGTCACCATTGTGATGCAGTGGCTCCTTTCTGGTTTCCTGTATAATGTATAATTTTGCATTACGTTAACTTTAAGATCTGCTTTGTTTCATCAGGCTCTACAGATGTTAGAGAGCCGACTGAAGCTCCTATCCGGGGAGACGGCGCTCAGTGTGGAGCAGAAGATAGCAGAGGTACAGGAGAGCGTCAGGAAAGCCAAGGTACCGTATTTCCCGGACTACAAAGCGCACCTGAATATTAGCCGCACAAGCTAAAATCAGGGGAAAATCCTGTTTTGTACATACATTAGCTGCACCTGACTAAAAGCCGCAGGTGTTTCAATGTTGACTTATCATATGTAAGAGAATATGCACAAAGGGAATTGTCAGGAAAGAGATGGCTGTTTGGAGACACACCCCTTTTATTAATATTTTGAAAAACAAGTTATGGGTACATATTTGCACATGTAGTACATAACAGTAACCTACAGCACACCAGAAAAATAGATTCAGACTACCTTTTAGGCTCAGGTGCAGTGACACAGCTTTAACAAGAAGAAAAGTCAGTCATTCACCATCTTTCTCTTCTTCCTGCGCTCTAAAACCACCAAAGTCCTCTCCTCCAATGTCGGAAACGAACAGGCTCAGGATGGCTTCGTCATCCACTCTCAGCTTCTTTCCTTCGTTGTCACTTTCAAAACCAAAGAAATCCTCGTTGTCAGTGTCAGAGTCGAACACCCTCAGAAGGGCCGTGGCGGTGTCCTCCTCTCCATCATGCAGCAGTCCAGCCCTTCAAAATCCGTTGGTGGTCGTGGATGTTTTCACACTTTTCCACGCTGTCAGAATCCACCGGTGGAGTTGGGCATAACTTGCTTTTCGCAAGTTTATCGCCGCTCATCATCCACGCCTCCCGCTGAATGCGTAGCGCTACTTTGAAGTTTGTTTTTCGCGCTACTTCGTACGGCACTACGTTGCCTGGCGGACGGACATGTGACTAACATACCACTCTTGAACCCCGATCCTTCCGCCAGGCAACGTAGTGCCGTACAACAGCGGAACAAACAAAACAAATCATCTTACGATATCACAAAAATCACGGACAATCCATAGAAAAGCCGCACCTGACTAAAAGCCGCAGGGTTCAAAGCTTGTGCAAAAAGTAGCGGCTTATAGCCCGACAATTACGGTACTTGTTTTTGAAAGTTTCTCCAGCCTATAAGTTCAAAATCCAACATTCAACATTATTGATACCACAAAGTATCAACACTATCAATCGTCAGATTAAAAACGCTCCAAAGCACAAAATCTGTTGCACTGGTGAAATAAAAATTGGTGCTGTATCAGTTTTGATCAGTTTTATATCATTAGCTGAATCTGAATCTGTGACATCACAGCAGTGACATCACCAATACCATACCAATCAGGCATAACTTCACGAGCACAGAGAGGTGAAGTGAATAACACAGACGGTGGGTTATATTAGGGAGCAATGAGTTTGGCAATATATAATAACGGCATCTGGAAATCTACATTATAATAGCTGAAATATGAAAGATGTCATGTCTGTGTAGTTGAATTTGTCTCAGAGGGATTTAGATTTCGATGTTGATCATGGTCGTTTAACTGAGGCACACAAAATCAGCTTGGTTTCAGCTTATGACCAAACCAAAGCTCAGGAAAATTCGCGAGTTACACAGAATCCGTGCGACTCGGGGTTCAGAGTCACATGTCTGTGTGTGTCTAACTAAGTTTCCTGGTTTTTCAGCTGAACAGGGCGAAGGCCGAGGCTCGCCTGGCCCTGCTGTCAGAGAGCACACCAGGAACAGAACAATGGCTTCACGCTGCCATGAACCAGGTGGAAGAGGAGTTGGAGAGAGAGCGACATCTCAGCGAACAGAGGAAGTCTACTGAAGACTTTTCAGTATGCAAACAAACAAACACACAGATTGAGCTGCATTTTCATCACATGGTGGCTTGCATGTCCTCTTTAGAGGCCTCTATCACTCGTAACGCAATACTCCTTTTGTCCTCTGGGGTCAAAAATGACCCCACTTCATTTGAGTGTTTTTTTAAAGTACATGGTATAAATTGTCAATCAGTTGTGTTACACCTTAAGTTTTACTTGTGTGTTTATGACTTTTTAGCCATACCCTTTTCTTTACCCAAGAGTCTTTGCCTCTGACCATGACCTGCAGACCAACCAGAGGTGTATCTGAGATGAAGAACATAGGGATATCATCCTGACCTCATTATTTGAAACTTTATTAGACTGTATAACTTTAATATAAGCCTCCACCACTGAAACATTATACATGTGACAGAAAGTAAGGAAAGCAAAATACGTTCTCTTTAACTTCAACTTTGCCCTGACCTTAAAATCAGCCGTCAGCCTCCAACACAACACAGGAAGTCGCTTTTTGTCTACAACAAAAACACACAAGTATGACTCCACAACATAATTGCACACAACAGATGTTACACACAGGGGAACAAACAGGCTAAAGACTATTTCAGATACAGAATTAACTTCAGTGCATGCTTGCTGGATGACACTTGTTTTTGTCACGGTGCGGCATGGCACACTGTGGAAGGTGTGGGGAAGGAGGACCCAGGCGCGGTGCTCTACGTATAGACAGTGTTTATTTACAGAGGGTGATATCAAACAACAATAAATCCCCGTGTTCTCCCAGACTCCCGTGTCGTGTCTCTGCGTGAATAGTTCGTGTCTCTGTGCTCTCCGCTCCCGTGTCAGCACCCCCCGGTGCTCGCTGCTCTTCGTGCCTTCCACGCTCCTCCTGCGGGAAACAATAGACGCAGCCGTCAGGACACAAATAACCGCGGGCATACACTTACACACATTAACTCAATTCAATGGGACGACTAACGTGGAGTCTCAAGGAATGATCCCGCGTCGGTGGGAGCTCCAAGACTCTCTTAAGTAGCTCCCCCGACGAGGCCTGATCAGCAGCAGGTGTGTGGCCAGTCCCCTTGCAGGGCCACACCCTCCAGGCCTGACGCCGCCTATAAACAAGTGCTCAGCCACCCACACACACATACACAAGCACAGGGAAGGGGGAGCAACACCAAAATACACAGCAATAATAATAATAATAATAATATAATACATGACTGCTCAGGGATCCTGGGTCGCCCAGTCCCAGGACCCTGACAGTACCCCCCCTCTAAGGGTCAGCTCCCGACGACCCCAAAACCAAAACAAAAAACAGCACAACCAACCCAGGGCGGGCGGCTGGGGGAACCAGGACGGAGGGCCAGAACCAAAACAAGCAAAAACAACAAAACAACAAACCGACCCAGTCCACAGTCTCAGAGTCAGACCGCGCATCCCGCAGCGGTGCAAAAAGAAAACGAAAAGACGCCACAAACAGTCACAGGCGGCCCATCAACACAACAAGAGAGTTCAGGGGGCCTACCTCGAGCCCAACGGCGGCGACGTAGCAGCTCCGGCGGACGGCCCCGGGTCCGGCGGCAGCAGCAAAACAGTTCAGGGGGCCTGCCACGGGTCCGGTGGCGGCAGAACGGTTCCGGTGGCCTGCCACGGGTCCGGTGGCGGTGGCGCTGCCCCTCCGGCGGCCTGCCACGGGTCCGATGGCAACGTCGCTGCTCCGGTGAGCAACAGCGAGGCGTGGCAACAGGTCCATGACGCGGACGCACCGGACGTGGACGGCGAGGAGGCCGCGCTAGACGTGGAGGTCCCTCCGGTCCGCTGACCTCCTCGGCCGGCAGCGAGAGCTCCTCCTCGGCCGGCAGCGAGAGCTCCTCCTCGGCCGGCAGCGAGAGCTCCTCCTCCGGCTCGCTGAGCTCCTCAGCTGGCAGAGCGGGCTCCTCCGGCTCGCCGAGCTCCTGCTCGGGCATGCTGAGCTCCACAGCTGGCGATGCAGGCTCTTCCGGCTCACTGAGCTCCTGCTCGGGCATGCCGAGCTCCTCCGGCTCGCTGAGCTCCTCAGCTGGCGGTGCGGGCTCCTCCGGCTCGCTGAGCTCCAGCTCGGGCATGCTGAGCTCCTCCGGCTCGCTGAGCTCCTCAGCAGGCGGTGCGGGCTCCTCCGGCTCGCTGAGCTCCTGCTCGGGCATGCTGAGCTCCACAGCTGGCGATGCGGGCTCCTCCGGCTCACTGAGCTCCTGCTCGGGCATGCCGAGCTCCTCCGGCTCGCTGAGCTCCTCAGCTGACGGTGCGGGCTCCTCCGGCTCGCTGAGCTCCTGCTCGGGCATGCTGAGCTCCTGCTGCAGCTGGACGAAGTCTGAGGTTTCCCGAGCTTGCACTACCCCCCGGGCTTTACGCAGGGTGCAAAGGCAGGCGGAAACTCCCTTGAGCTGGCCGAGGTAGGGGTTTCCCTCCAGGATTGCCTCGATGGCGTTTAACCCCACCACTCCTGCCCTTGCGTTGGTGGTGTGAGTTACCCAGTCCATCAGGCGTTGGACGCGGGTGAGGTCGCTCTCTCCGGACAAGGCCGCTGGAGTGGGCAGTGGAATGGAGGCTGCTGCTGGTGGAGAAGATGGCTGAGCGTGTGATGTGGATGGTGAACAGGATGAAACGGTAAGCGGTGAGGTAGATGTCGCGGGGGATGATTCAGCAGGTGACGGCTGGATCACTAGCCGGGCGATAGGCTGAGGTACAGCGACCAGCTGGGCCGCGGGCTGCGCTTTGGCTACCGGCTGGGCAGCTGACCGTATAAACATAGCCCCAGAGTAAACAGTTGAGGTGAGTGACGATGAATTGTCCATATGACTCACCACAGCCGGCTGTTGAGATGTCTGTGGATTTAGCTGCGGTGAGGAACGCTGGCGGCGCGAACGTCGTTTCCGTGTCGGCGTCGGGGCCGGCGTCTCAGGCAGTGAATCCACCAGCTGTCCGAGCTGGTGGGCAGCCTGAGGAGGAGAGTGGAGGTGGAGGGTGGAAAGCAGGAAGTCCAGGACCACTGCATTAAGGGAGTCCACCAGCCAGGGGAATTTAAAAAGCATCTCCTGCAGCCGCCTCTCCACGGCGCGACGCAAACCTTCCGCTGGCTTCTCCCACCACACCTCACATAGGTGGTACACTTCATCCATAACTTCCCTCCTGAGCCTCTCCTCGGAGACCGCTGGGTCCATAAGTGGCGGGATCATTCTGTCACGGTGCGGCATGGCACACCGTGGAAGGTGTGGGGAAGGAGGACCCAGGCGCGGTGCTCTACGTATAGACAGTGTTTATTTACAGAGGGTGATATCAAACAACAATAAATCCCCGTGTTCTCCCAGACTCCCGTGTCGTGTCTCTGCGTGAATAGTTCGTGTCTCTGTGCTCTCCGCTCCCGTGTCAGCACCCCCCGGTGCTCGCTGCTCTTCGTGCCTTCCACGCTCCTCCTGCGGGAAACAATAGACGCAGCCGTCAGGACACAAATAACCGCGGGCATACACTTACACACATTAACTCAATTCAATGGGACGACTAACGTGGAGTCTCAAGGAATGATCCCGCGTCGGTGGGAGCTCCAAGACTCTCTTAAGTAGCTCCCCCGACGAGGCCTGATCAGCAGCAGGTGTGTGGCTTCGGGTGTGGCCAGTCCCCTTGCAGGGCCACACCCTCCAGGCCTGACGCCGCCTATAAACAAGTGCTCAGCCACCCACACACACATATACACAAGCACAGGGAAGGGGGAGCAACACTAAAATACACAGCAATAATAATAATAATAATAATATAATACATGACTGCTCAGGGATCCTGGGTCGCCCAGTCCCAGGACCCTGACAGTTTTATCACTCAGCGTGTCTTGCAGATGCTCTAAAAATATTTTTGGGATCAGAGTGGAGACGACACCCTTAAATCCTTTGTTTTGCAGGAGGATGAGTTTGAGCTGACTGACTTTGAGGACTACGATGATAATGGAGAGATCTTCACAGATCCAGTGTCAGCATCTGGAGTGTGTGTTTACCCTGCAGCCTGCAGAGGTATTTACAGCTATCAGGTAGTGATCATCAGCACCCCCCCTCCCCCCTCCCCACACACACACACTTTTTAAAACTTTTTTTTTAGCAAATTCAATGAATCAATGAGTCTAAAAGATCTGTACAAAGTCTAAAGCAGAGCTGTTAAGGTGTTTACAAGATGCTCAAGGCTGTTGTTGGTGCCATAGTGGTGCAGTGGATAGCATTGTTGCATCAAAGCAAGAAGGTCCTTCATCAGCTACCCCAAAGCATGCTCGAGCCCGATGTTGGAGATGTGAAATGAACAAAAAAGAAGTTTAAGTCAGGAGGATCTGGTGATGGCCTGCACGGGTCATAGAGGGGAGCCAATGATTTTTTGGGCGGTGCTCTTTACCCTCTGCGCAGCCTTCCTGTCCTCAGTAGTGGCCTAGGTATGAATCACCCAGGCAGTAGGAGAGGAGGCTCTCCACTGAGGAGCAGTAGATGGACAGCAGCAGGTTCTGGTCCAGGTTATTCCTCTTTAGGACATGGAGGAAGTCCAGCCGCTGCAGGGCCTTCTTTACCAGGGTGTTGGTGTTGATCCAGATGAGATCAGCTGAGATGTGGGTGCCCAGAAACCTGAAGGTGGAGACAGATTCCACCCATTCTCCATTTATAATGAGAGGAGGGTGGACCTGCCTGTGCCTCCTGAAGGACGTTCAGCTTCAGGTTATTTTCTGAGAACCAGCAGGACAAGTTCTCCACCTCTGCCCTTTACGCTGTCACATCTCCATCAGAGATGAGCCACAGTGGTGTCATTGGCATACTTGACGATGACATTGGTGGGTAGATCGGTTAGGGATGGGAATGATGGTGGAGCCCTTCAGACGGGTGGGAATGACATTAGTCAGGAAGAGGTTGAACAGCCCAGTGAGGATCTCTGCCATTTGGTCCGTGCAGGCTTTAACCACATCCCCTGGGATGCTGCTTGCACCCCTCCTTAGGTTGGAAGAGCGCTTCACAGAAAACTGTCCCGAGTTCTGATCAGAGCCTGTACTTCACTCATCGTCCAAAGTTTTCGGTTAGCAAAAACACGGATGTCACATTCTCTACACAGCACTTGATGTAGAAAAGGACAGACTGAGTGTCTCTGGGGTCCTGCTGTTCAAAGCTGGACCAGTCTTTGCATACAGCACTGAACTGATGTTTTCATAAAATAAGCAGGTCTGTGTTATATTTTTTAGGTTTGTATCACTATAATGTTAATATAGAGTAATAACAGCTATTTGATAACCTGCATTAACAGGCTTACAGTTAAATAATGGAAAATTATCTCTTTTAGGCTAGCCAATCAGATGAGCTGTCAATCATGGAAGGGGAGGAGCTTCAAGTAATCGAGGATGGAGATATGGAGGACTGGCTGAAGGTAACAATACTGATGTGATACAGTATAATGTACTTTATTGGAAAGGTTACTCTGATGTTCTCTGTGCAGGTGTGTAACTCGTGTGGTCAGGTGGGCTACGTCCCTGAGCGGTATGTGCAGCTCCTGTGTCTGCCAGCAGAGGACAGCACTCCGCTGGACAGCTCATTCAGCTCCACCTCCTCCACTGTGACTAAAGAGACACCAGGGAGTAGAGGTCTGTGGCCATGTTTACACTTGCACTTGACGTCACATTACTTACTGTGCACTTTGTATAAATAAGTGCTGCCTCAGAGGGGAAATATTGACCCAGGCCCTACAAATCCTTCCTAAAACTTGGATCAAGTCTATTTTCATTCAGTCACTGAAAGTCATAAGAAATAACTGAAAAACTAAGATAAATTAAGAAGATGAATCTAAGATGTATTTTTTTCCAATTTCCGTAATATGAGTTTACACCATGTGCTCTGATGTGTCTCAGGTGTAGCCAGGGCTCTGTACTCCTACCAGGCTCAGAGCGCAGAGGAGCTTTCCTTCCAAGAGGGGGCGCTAATACACCTGATACGCCGTCCACGTGGAGAGGTGTGTGTTCTACGCTGCCGTTGGACGTTGGAGTGATCACAACCCTGGATTTGTAGAAAACAACGTAGAGCCCATCATGCACCAACAGCAATACTTTTTTTAAGAATGTTTGTTTTTTTGTCCCTACAAACATGACTGCTCTACATGAATGGATAGAGGGTGTGGCTTATTTAGCGATTTACAGTAAAAAACACCTCATAACAATTTAGCTCTTTCAAAGCTACAGAGGAAGGGAGGGAAACCCTAACAGCCACCAGCTTTTACCTCGCTTCAGTCACTCAGGGTGAAGACTGCAAATCTAAGTGAGTCTTTTTACAGGTTGATGATGGTTTTTGGGAGGGAGAGCTGAACGGACACGTCGGCGTCTTCCCATCGCTGATGGTAGAGCTTGTTCACAATGAAGAGGAGGATGAGGAAGAAAAAGGGGAGATGGAGGTGAGACTACATCCTGGTAATCAGAATCTTCTGAAATTCAAAAATCAGTTTTTCTGATGTTTATTTTCCTCTCCAGCCTCTTCCAACCCCAACCATGCCCCCTTTCTCCCCTCCCATCCCCACACCCTCAGCTCCTAGCTGTAATTCAGAACTGAGCGCTGCTTCTCCGAGCAGTATGGAGGACAAACAGCAGGCTGCTCTAATGGAGGGATCAAAGCTGGCAGGCAACAGACCGGGTAGAGTCTATTTCTCTGTTTTCTATCTAAAATGTGTCATTTGAGGTGTTTCACTCTGTGTCTATTGCACCGCCAGAGGCCGGAACCAGCAGCCACAGCTCTCCTGAGCACTCCAGCACTCCACTGAGACCAGTAGGTGCAACACCCACACGTATCTTATAGAAAATAAAAGCCTACCTCAGAGGAGGTATGGAAGCACAAGCCCAGACAGGGCATTTTAACAGGCAGGAAGAGACAAAGAAAAGGCAAAAGTTTGGAGGTGAGAGCAGGGACTTTAATTATAGGGATTATAATAATAAGCATGGAGATGAAGAAAGATAAGATAGAAGTTCATGTACAGCAGAGAGAGGTGGCAAAGAAAAGGCTTAAAGTGAACTGCATATACGACTGGACTCTAAGCAAGAATAAAAGTAGGGCTGGGTGTCGTCACTGATTTCTAGAATCGATTCGATTTGAATCGGGGAAATTTTGCCTCAGACAGTCAGAAATATTATAATTCTGATCATGCATCAGTACATTTTCATATTTTTATATCTATAAAAAGGAAGCTGACACTTGCCAGACTTTATCAAAGGTGTGAGCATCACAGCGAGGCCTTTGTGTCAAAGTAGCTGAAGATAAAACACAGAAAAACATGAAGGTGATTTTCCTGTTCTGGGATTTTATAAAAATATTCTGCAGTAGATCAAAAACGAAAGAAAACCATTAATCAGCACATGAACATTACCTGATGCTGCTGAAGTGAAGCAGAGCAAAGTTACAGCGGTTTGATTAGAGACACAGCTGAGTGTTTTGCAATTTTGCATAATTTTAAAAAGTTGAAATTTGTTCAGTATTGAACAGCAGAAATGAGGTTTTCTTTTCGGAAGTAAGTAAAAGTAAAAACAAGCAAGCGAATAATGCAGAAAACAGATGAGAGAGAGAGAGCTGTGCATGAACTGAGATTTTATCCTGGTGGAAGCAAAACAGTAAACGTCAGAGTGAATCCATGACGATGTTTGTGTGAAGCGTAGTTTGGATCTTCTTTTGCTGCTGGTTCGGTCAATATTGTTTGGAGAGAGATAAAACTAACAGCTTTAGAATCGGCGCATAAAGGAGGAGTTCATGAATGTAGGAGATGAGAGCATGGGTGGTTAGTAAAGGAAGTGTAGAGGATTAGGAAAGGATGCCTGAGGAATGGAGAAGTGGTGTTCTGGTACTGATGTGCAGGTAGCTGTTGAAGGTACAGAGGTGGCGATCAGTGAGCAGCAGTAGGGCTTCATGCAGAGAAACAGCACCGTAGATGTGATGCTTGTGATGAGAGGGACAGATCAGGTTGATAATTTTGGAGACAAAGTTAGTGAGGAAAGGCTGAGATGGTTTGGACACATGCAGAGAGGATTCATAGATGTAGCAACGGAGGACACACAGAGGGCTGGTGTGACAGAAGAGGACGCTCAGTACAGGGTGACACGGAGACAGAGCTGGGACTAGCTGACGGAAGATTTGAATATCTTTGAGCTCACACAAATCAGTGCTTATTAAAACCCACATTTATTTTCTCTCTGTATTGTTTCAGTGTCGAGCACCTCCTCCACCTCCAACACAGAAGACTTCATCTCAGGCTTGAGACAGACTGGAGTCGTAGCTGTCTTGTTACAGCCAAAACATTGCTGATTTGTGCCATTTATGTATCGTCAGGTGGTTTTCTTGGTCATATGAGGCGTCACACAAGTACAGTAGTTGCAATCTGTGTGTGTATCACCGCTCTGTTCATCGTCGCTTTTGCAGGAACAACAGGTTATCAAGAAAACATGGCAGCTTAGATCCAGAGCATTGTTTTTTAGTACTTGACCTTTTAAAGACTGCCAAAGCACTGTTACAAGGAATATCAAAATGCCAATTGTATTAATACAACTTGTAAAAATAAGAAATTGCACATGCAATATGACTTTGAACCACAAGATAGTCCAGCGAGTCTGTCCTGAATCCAAAATGAGACATTCCTATATGAGTATTACTAAAGCTACAGCTAGATCAACAGTCAGGATTACAATATGTCCCCACTTGTTTGGGCAGCTAGAAGAGCAAAGAAGCATTACAAAGTCATTTATATGTAAAGAATGTAATACTTGACATGAAACTTTTACAAAAAGTATCTTTTTAAAGCGGCATTGTAAAAACAACCTTAATTGATTGCAGTCGTGTGAAAAAGAAAGTTTTCACAGCACTCCATACACTTCTGTGAAAGCTTATATAGCACTACTTTTTTAATAGGAATTAACAAGTTACATGGCAGCCAACTGTTGATAATCAGATGCACTTGATTAACATAAAGAAGAGGTTTTGGCAGTTTGCTGGTCGGGAGCATGGAGGTGTGCAAACTCACTCCAAGTTCAGACTTTGCAATTGTCAGAGAATTGCAAAACACCCGAGCGCTACATCTTACACTCTTCAGACCCCAGTAAGTATGTTAAATATTAAAGTCAAATGTGCACAAACCCCAACTAATCGAAGCAACACTGTAAAGAAGAGCGGGCTAAAACTCCTGCACAATGTGTGATTCATAAAGAAATACAGAAAGTTGTTGTTGCTAAAGGTGGCTCTGCAGCTATGCAACCCTTCCAAAATGCAACCCATCCTTCCCACATGACTACACAATCGCGTGTTAAACTTGGACCTCTTAAGTTTTAGTGTAGCAATCACTAACAAACACAGTTCAGATGTAACATTAGGTATTTGTTTTATTTTCATGAAGTCTAACATTAGCTAGCATACATGCTATTCTAAACGGCAACAGTTAAGCTAGTTAGCATGTCGAAGGCTAACATATGATCTACTTGTTTACCCTTATATTATGATATTATAATAACAAGGCTAGTGTCATAATTAAACAATTTGCTTTTGGATTTTTGAAATATCCTCTTCTATATAATTGTTTTTGTACTGTAAGTCATTGTTGTGGAATAAATTAAGTTATTAAATTTGGAGTTTGTTTGGTTATTTATGTAAGTCATTACCACCTGAATCACTTGGCTCTTGTGGCATTATCTAATAAGGAAAAAAGACACACTCAGAGCTTTCAGAAGCACAGACCAAAGTTTTGTTTTGTTTTTTATTGCATCAGAATATATTATAATCCATCTGCTTATTTACATTTTCTTTAGTGTTTGTATAATATTTTACAAATATTCCAAGCTCATCACAAGAAACATCTCTCAAACACTCACACTCCAGGATTTGATCAAGCCAATTATAGTAGTTATTTTTGTTTGCTTGCTTATTTATTTCAGGTTTTGCAGCTTTCAGTGGCGCTTCAGTAGCAGCACGAGTTCTTATCTCAATGAACCACACAAATTCCAAGAACTGGTTTTATCTTGTCAGCCTGAAGCAGAAGAAAAAAATGCAACTAAAGTGAAAACCAGATGACGAGTCATGTGACTTTACATACTTTTTCTACTAACAAATATCACGTTTGTTTGTCAGTATAGCATCAGTTCCTCACACGCGGACAGTACAGGTGATATGTGAAGTATAGACCTGCCTTTATTCTGGTTTTAACTTCGATCAGTCAATACATAATCTGACCTCTGCATAAAAACACAGCACTGTCCATGAGGTCAACTTTTATATTTAAAGAAAAGAAATCTGTGAAATTCATTGCAATTGAAGCTCGGAATGAGATATCTTAGCAACAAATGGTTCTGAATAACTCGATGCGATGCTGCAATCCAGTAAACTTGACTCATGATTTAAGTTGAATTCATTAACCTGTAGAAAACAGACAGACTGATCTAATCATGGTTAACCAGGAACATAGTATCAGTGTTTAAATCATCGGCTTCATTTTGACCGAATACAATTATGTGAATGAAAATCCAGCTTTACATGGAATCATATTGTTATCATCACCACAAAAAGAATAGGTCTTAAATCATGGGCTCCATATTTTTTTATAATCCAGTCACTATACTGTATTTGAGCTTTATTTTTAATTGTACTTAGTCTAACTGGAAATTTTGATATGTTAGAGGTAATTAAGAATGTCAAGTTTTCACTTCAACTGTAAAAATAAAAAATAAAATAGAACATTAATGAATCATCTGCACTGAACTATACTTTTTATTAATCTCTGTCTCTCTTCCACAGCATGTCTTTATCCTGTCTTCCTTCTCTCACCCCAACCAATCACAGCAGATGGCCCCGCCCCTCCCTGAGCCTGGTTCTGCTGGAGGTTTCTTCCTGTTAAAAGGGAGTTTTTCCTTCTCACTGTCGCCAAACTGCTTGCTCATAGGGGGTCATATGATTGTTGGGCTTTTCTCTGTATCTACTGTACAATATAAAGCGCCTTGAGGCAACTGTTGATGTGATTTGGCGCTGTATAAATAAAATTGAATTGAAGAGAAAATAGGCTACAGACACCTGCTCTGTTAAGGCAAATCATAGGCAGTTCATATAGTTATTTTTATGTTTTCAAAGAGTATATAATATATATGCATGTAATGCCGAGTTAACTGTTATGGGTGTTTAATTATAGTGCATAAGTGAAAAAAAAACTTGTGTCTTTCATATACACATATCCAGCTGTGTAAAACAAACAGCCCTGTGAACGTATCATGTTGAAAAGTACAGACATGTTAATGCTGCTAGAAAAGTTTGCTGGAGAATAATGGAAATACACGCTAACGCATGAAGATGCTATATGTTCATTCATTTATAGCCATGCATAACACTGCACAAGGAGGCAAGCCACTCAGAGAATGGAATGAAAAGCGAACGCATGGGAAAAAATGAAAACTGGGACACTAGACCAGGGACTTCTGGGTTTGTTTCTCACAAGGACAGGAAATAATGCTGAACTCTGAACTGTGTCTCTTAAACTTTCTGTTTTAACACAGCTGTGAGTCCCAGGGCTCGAAGCACACAAGAAAGTATAAAGCTGAATAAATACAGATTAGCCCCATTTTAAGGCTACATCATTGAGAGCTAAGTGAGATCAAATTTGTCTATAGCTTATATTGTAGCTTGCTAAACAAGCATATAACTTTGTGCTCCATTCTCTTGTTCAAAGATGGCCAAAACACCAATATTGTGGTTTCTGTCAGTAGTACGGAAAGTTGTATATTAACATTTCACATCCTGTTGTTCTCCCTGCTTTATGAGAGTGTTTTAGGCTTTTCTTCATGAAGTGAGGGAGGTTCTATACATTCAAAGATCAATTATATGATAATGTAGTCTGATAGCTATAGCAGCTTCAAACAAATTAAAACTTGTGTGGTTATCAGTGCTCAGCCTCATCAGTTATTTTAGTGACTAAATGAGTAAAGTGTCGTTACACAAAAATGGAACTAAATTTCTAAACAACTAAAAGCAGACAATAAGTCTTCTTCTGGCCTCTGGAATATATAAGTAGCTAAGTATGCTTCTGTAGTTGAAGCATATAATGACCTTGTTACTATTAATATTCATTAAATTAGACAATATATAGACATAAAAGTAAAGTTATAAATAAATAAAGAATGAATAATATCACCCTGGTTTTACTCTGACATGTGGCCTTTCTTCATATAACCATGTTCAAGTTTCACAGCTACGATCAACTGTACAATCAAATATTGCAAACAGAGTGCATGCATCAATAGAGATCCAGTCTATTCACTTTTATTTTATATCATGTAAAATGTTACAGGTTGCAGTTTAGCATTCCCAATATTTTGAAAATGTACACCTTTACATTATTTTTATTTTTAAGTTTACTTGGAAGTTGCCTGCAGGTTGACAGCTTCTTGGGAAGAAAGTGCAGCTTAGTCGTCCAAACGACCAGCAGACAGTTTGCTGCTCTGCTTTCCAATATTGTTTTTGCATCAGTTTAATGTTGAAAATAACATGTTTGATTTATGCATTTATTTACTTATGCATTCATATTTAAACGACAGAAAACTGAGCCATGGTGTGGGGTTAAAGAGGTTTGTATTTGCCAATGAAAGTGTCTAGCACCATCATAAAAGGCAAAGGTTCTTGAACAAAGTAACAGTGTGCAAGTCCTTATCGGGGCACTACTACTGACAGGGCACATACAGAAGAGTGTATATCATAAATGTTCTGCTGTCAAGGTAAAGTTCTTTGTTGTGCTGTCACCTACTCTCCTATGAATGACAGTTAGCAGTAATTTAGCACAAATATTAATTTGGGGGAAAGAAAATGGAATAATAGGACTGTTTGAACCAGCTTGCAACATTTGCACCTTTATATAGCATAGCATCAAACACAATTACAACTTAATGGAGAGCCAGCACATTAATAAATCTCCAGCTGCCCATGGAGTCATTATGGCTCCACAATCTAATGGATGTGTTGTAAAGAATTACTGTTTCAACCATCAGCTAGACCATCTTACATCTCAACAGCCCGCTGATCCACAGGTCATACTACAGCCATTAGTAAAAGGATATCACTTTATGTAAAAATGATGGGCTCTGCTATCACCTCAGCTATAGCTAGCTTAGTGCTCATGTCCATGCACTAAATGTGAAAGAAATAACCTTCAAGTACATATCTTCTGCAGTTCAGCCAATAAACACACTTTTTTAATTCAAAGACGAAGCAAACCTAAGTTTCTGTAACACCGGGTGTTCAACATAAAATTACACCTGCAATACACAGGAACCATTCATTCAGGATCTAGTGTGGTCACTAGTGTTTTTAGGCCCATCATGATTAGATTTGCCAGCCATCGTATGAATATGCTCATCTTTGACTCGAGTTATTTAACAAACAACCATTTTGTGTTCATTTCTGTGTGGTATGAAATCTTGAAAGACAGTGAACACCATCTGTTCATGTTGAATATAAAAGCAAACTTAAAAATCACACAATTCAACACTCCTCAGGAGTTTCGTTAGCATGCTAAAGTCTGCTAATTACCCCTGAAGTCAAAGTACAGCTGAGGCTAATAGGAACATGATTTCTTTTAGCAGCTGTGGAATTAAAACCTACGGAGCCCCACAAGGGACAAAAAAATGACAATGAACTTTTGTGAGATCCAGAGTTACTTTTGCGAGATCTCGCAAAATAGGCCGCATCCTTCGCAGGTCGCATTTGAAGGCCGAGTCGGTGTATCCTTCGTGGTCCAAACTATCCCAGAATTCATAGCGCACCCCAGCCACTTCCAGTTTCCAACAATGGTGGCAGCTACTTAGTTTTAATATTACTCTTTCTGGGTCTCAAAATAAACTAAACTAAGATATTTTGAGGCAAGAATGTAGCTGTGTAAACTTCAAACATCTGCTCGGTTTATCAAGACATCACATATTTGCAAAAGTGCTCCGACGTTTTCGAAGACATCTGTTACCCACCGGCTTGAACCTGACCGCGAGGTCGAGGCTTACTAGAGCCGGGGGGAGGACCATACTCCCGGCACACTGTGCCTCGACCTCACGGTCAGCTTCGAGCTGGCGACCTCTGAAGGATGCGGCCTATTTCGCGAGATCTCGCAAAAGTTCATCTCCATTTTTTTTTCTCCAATGTCCTTTGTGGGGCTCTGTAATAAACCAGCATGTGGGAAAGAATAATAATTTTGACGTGATCGTGGAGCTAGACAAAAAGTTATTGAGATGCATCTCAAGAAAAACTTGATGAAATGTCAAAAAATGTCAATGCAATCATTCTAAAAGATACAGAAATTTCATTCAAGATCACCAGAGGTATTGAGATTCATTCAGAATGAATGTCTGTAAAAAATTGACTCAATGACTGATCCATCCAATTTATATCCAAACAACTTTGTTGAAAAACACTTTGAGAGTTTTGAGGTAAAACTGGATGTTCTATGTCATCTTTTGTGAGATAAACAAAAGAACAAGGATCACTAAACATCAGTTTCATCGGGAAATTTGAAGTAATGTCAGTGGTTGATAAGGTAACATCACCTATAGTTGTGTTATTTTCTTGTAATCCTGTTTCAGCCACTTTAATTTCTCTTTAC